TTCAAACTTTGCTTATGCTGCTAACAGATTGACTGCACGTTTGCAGTTAATGTGTGAAGTCGTAATTCGAGACCTGGACTGCATGCAGTTGATAACGACTTCACGCATTAACTTCATACAATCGATCTCGGCTGCATGAAGTCGGTTTCGACTGCACGCAGTTAATGCATGAGCTCGTTATCAACTTCATGCAGTCAAAGTTTTGGCTGCATGAAGTTGATTACGACTTCACGCATTAACTGTGAACATACAGTCGATCCATCAGCAGCTTTATATGTACATACAAACTGAAACAAAAAGGTTAACAATCGGTTACTGGAAAGTGCGTGAAACCGGGTTCATCCCCTAATATTTTCTTCAAATTTAAATGGGACCAATAACTAATCGCGTAACATATACACAAAAAATAGAGTCGAATTGACAACCTCCTCCTTTTTTGAAGTCGGTTAAAAAATGACACATTTATGATAGGTGTTATTAGTACGACATTTAATGTTTTAAATAGATTCATGTTAGTATTGACATTGAAAAAAGTCTATTTAATTTTTAAAGACTGTGTACAGTTATAAACTAATATAAAATAATGTATGATAATGTACATTCGTATGAACAATAATATTCATTCATTTATTCCAAAAAAGTAGAGAGTGGATTGGAATTAATACGACAACCTACTATATATAATGTATGACAGGAGTCAATCGCGAACCCAGTAGAACACCCAAGGGTTGTTTAATAAATAATTTACACGAAGATAGCAGTTACGTAGTGAAAAACACTTTCATTATAAAAATAATAATTTGTAAGGCCCGCTTCCTATTTTTACTATGCAAATGGTTCAATCTACCTTGATTGTTGTCCGCATAAATTAAGTTGAGTGCCTTAGAAATGCAAAGGCTTTGCAAAGAATGTCTTATGACATAAAAGATTTTTTCAGATTTTTAAACAGATTTATTTCTTGCATAACGTCGGGGATAGTGAAAATCTGCGTATGTAGTATTGGTAAAAAGCGCGTATCTGCACTGGAGAGGGATTAAACTTTTTTTTGAAATTTAAAATGGCTACGACTTCACTTTTTAATTATTCATTTATTTGTACATAACAACTTAATTAACGTTACAGACAAAACCTAAAATAATTTAATAAATAAAATATAATAACATAATATATTTATTCCATTTTATACTATTTCATACTCCGCAGCTTTGCGAGAAATTCCATCTCATATACATTTAATTTTGGCCCCAGAATCTACTTTATTCAAATTGTGCTAACTTTTAACCAGGTGCTATATAAATGACGCAAACTGTTATTTTTTAATCCTGTAAAATTTAAAAAATTGAGATAGTACCGGTTGCAAGTTCACAGTCGAATATATTCATTTTCACGACAACAACGGTGACATAGTCACATAATGCTTTAAAAAAATACATTGATAATATATTTTTTACATAAATTGAAAATTAAAAACACAAGCGAAAAACCAATGGATTAATACACATTTAAATATATTTAGAAACAAAAAATAATCACATAGCACACAAAGAAACCAACCAAAATAATTATATCAAAAACAATTGCTTTATCAATTTCAATTAGTCCAAAAACGTTTCGTTACTCTAAGAATCCATTCACAAGGCGCCCTAAGGAAATAATTTAATTCAATACTGTGGCTCACAGCTCGACGTGAAAGAGACTTTAGCAGTGATAGATTACGTAGTCTGTGACTAAGCTGCTATGAGGGTTGTAAAGAAATTTGAACAATGTCGGTAATGAACTGCGATTCGGATAATAGAAATACATTCATGACCCATCTACCATCCGATTAAGGTATACAAATTTTAAAAAGGTTAAGAGACCGTAATGTGACTGCAAAAATTCGACTCTATGCCACTTCCGGTAACAGCCAAGACCAAAGTTTCTTTTTTTATGACTAAGTGTTAGGACAAACAAGTCGTGCGCCTCATGGCAAACGACGCGCTTGTCTTTTGCCGTCAGAGAGCCGTCAAAGACCGTCGTATAGTTTACTATGGTTTTTGATCTCGACATGGCAGTTACCAAAAAATAAAAATTATTAATAACAATGCGCACACTCATAGCCCCGCACTAGGGAAACCCTGTATCGCGGGTACCATGGATACACATTAGACAACCACAAATTACACACAAACTATAAAGAAATAAATGTATCGAATACGGGACCTCTGCGTGACTGACCAGTATGGTAGCCATTCGACCACAGAGGCGGTTAAAATATATATGATATAATAATTATAGTAATAATAAAAATTTGATCATCAGCTTTAGTAATACGGTAGTTAGCAGTCTCCTCTCCCATTGAGAGTGCTTGGGCTGTAGTTCCTTCATCACGATGTTTTCGTTCAACAAAAACTCATGGTAATCTCAAAATTCCGAAAACCCAGAGGTGCTAGCCCGGATTCGAACTCATGACCCTCTGCTAGTAAGGCGATAAGTCAAACCATTAGGCTGGGCATTAGGCTTTATTAGGGTGTATTGGAAATTAAAACCTTATCGTGTAAATTATCTAATAGATAGTTATTATTGAGAATTACGTGATAAAAGGAAGCGAAATAGAAAAGTGAAGATGAATGTGGAGTCGTATAAGGGCTATTATCGCAAATACACATGCCAGTTTGTGAATACAGAAACCTTTTTCTTGCCTTTCGACTATGGTGCCATTATAGAAGTAGTGTCAGTGATGATCATGCTTGCATCTGTACGTATATGCGTGACTTTATTGTTAGGAATGAACTGATAGCCATAAGAATGCATATCTTTTGATACTGATCAATAGGCTTGGTAAAAGCACATATTGACGAAACTGGTGAGAATAGACATTTTTTTTCTTGACGATGTTAATCCGACTATCTACTACCAAACGATTTTAGTTTTGTAAGTAAATTGATAGCTTGGAGAAGATATGTTTTGGCTTGTACTCATGCAAAGCTTGATAGACAGGGCGTACAGATTGCAGAGAAAAACACGGAGGGCACTACTCTGACATTAACCATTGCTGATTGAGAGCATTGCTCTCCAATGATAGACAAAAAACAATTGTATTGAGGAGTAAAATGAACAAATAATAGTTGAGCTTATAAAAAGTTATTTCTGTTTCCTTTTAAATAAACAACAGACTTACATATATAACTGTTCATAACATCTGACACCGTGAAATGAAAGCAAAAAGATATGCTTACGGAAAATATTGGAAGAAAACCTATAAAAGTAAATCATGAAAAGAAAGTTTCGATCAGATGAAATATGCTGTCACAAGTTTTGTAACGATCGTCAATGAGGAGACTTTATTGGACGAAGTTGAAAAGAAGATGGGTATTCGACAGGCATGACATGACAAAGTGTAGTTGGTTTTTGATATTAGAACAAAACAGAAGTTTTTTTTACTGTAATTAGGAAGGTCGGTGACATGAACGTATGTATTATAGTTTTTTGTAAGTTAGGAGTTCTGCGGAAGATCAAAGAAGATAACGATTTGAAATGATTTTTTCCATACGCAGGATTATTTAGAAACACATATCTTTTTTTTTAATTAAAAAGCGTCCGTTCACAACGTCACCAAATAGAAATTAAGGAAGAGGTTCAGGGCGAAAAGGATAAATGCTTGTCCAGTTAGTGCTCGTTCACTTTCAGTTTAAATTATCCAGTTTGCCCTTGGTGTTTGAACTTTTACTTTCCCCAAAATACTACATCCAACCAAACTAAATAAATAACCAAAATAAATAAATATATTACATAAACTCAGAACACAGAGTACTAAAAAAATTACCTCAAAAGTTTGTGTCCATTTCCAAAGTGGAATATTTTTTTCAAATTTAAAAGGTACTAATTCTGAGGTACCCTCTTTCCAACAAAAAAAGAATCCTGAAAATCGGTTCACAAATTTAGTTATCGTGTAACATACACCCAAAAAAAGTACAGTCGAATTGAAAACCTTCTCCCTCTTTGAAGTCAGTCAAAAAAGGTGTTTCATTTTCATTTGACAAATTTCAAAGTAACGTTAAATTTTGACATTTACCAAGCACCCTTTCGTTTAATTGCATCCTCGTGTCGACAGCAAAAATAACTTTGTATCTAGTTTGACAAATTGCTCAACAGTTCTTTAATTAGTTTGCTAAGGGAGTAGAGCGCTCGAAAATATATGCTTTTAGGGGAGAGGAAAGGACAAACTGTTGTCAGTTAACGGAAAGATATGAAAGTTTTAACTGAGTTGGTTGTGAGAATGGCAACCATATACCTTGTACTAGGACAAGACATTTTTCTGTGGCCGACTACTATTGTCTTCAAATTACCTCACCAAACTGGTATTTACTAGTCCGCTGCATACTAGATAAGGGTTGGGTATCTGAAGAACTATCGCGTGGGTTACATCAGTATCTTATAATTTACGTACACTTGATAATAAAAAACTTTATAGTCGCAATCATAAAAAATCCAAATCCAAAATGGTTAACATGTTTATTTGTTTGTGTCGCTGTTACACAGAATGTTATAAAACTCCGAACCAAACCGTTTGTAACAATCCAGAAAAAATATATAAAAAAACACATAGTCATTTTTTTCTGTTACTGGGCAATACCCTGGACTTGGTTTATCGTTGAGTTTTACAAAACATCCTGTACATGAAAACAAACTTGTACAAGAAAAACAAGGTTTTGAAAGAAATCCGTAACAGTTACACCAGCTAAAGTATGATCTGATCTTTTTACTATATTGTGTATCAACAGTCGCTGTACTTGTCGATTATGCTAGGCAAGCGGATTGACGATTTTAGTAAATTTGCAATTTAAAATACACAGGGATTACTTTGATGTTCGTCCCCTGGATAAAGTGCTCAGTTACTTTATGTGACACCCAAAAGATATTTTGTAATTTTCAAATTCAGAACCACAGAAACACATAACATATTCATCAAATAATAATCAGAGAATTAATCAAATTCTAAGCTTAGAAAAGATACTTACCTCTCAGTAGCGTCAAAATTCCCAACGGCATTACCAACATTGCAACTAGAAGATCAGTAATCGCCAGAGACATCAAGAAGTAGTTTGTCACATTCTGCAACCTCCTCTCCAAGTAAATCGCCAAGCAAACTAAAACATTCCCCGCTGCCGTACATACTACTAATATTATAGCAGCCAATGCCCACCAATTATGAACAACCTCATCTTCCTTTTCAACAGTAGCGTTACCAATCTCATTGAAACTTAAATTATAAGTCGTATAGTTCAAATTCCAATAGTAGTCGGGTTCATCGCTTGAAAATCGATGGAAATCAAATTCATGCATTGTTAAGCACTCGCATTTTTGCTTCTTTCATCTTATTTCGTAGATGTGCTGCCGTGGCTGGTCCATTGTTGTGGGTGTTCAATTTTTCTAGGTTGATAGAGGTAACATCTGGAAAAGAAGAGATCGTCGGTTTAACATCATGTGCTTCGACCATTTATACTGTCAGTGCGATGTTCAGAAATGCATATTCGACAATTTTGTTGGATTGTTCATCAAGGTCAAAAACGGATCGTTCCGATTTGACTGTAATTTCAAATCTTGTTATAAATCTAGACTCTGATCTGAGATCATACGCACACTAGCATTGTTATTAACTATATAGTTGAACCTTATTTTACCTTATGTATTATAATACCTTCTACAGTCTAGAATTCGTCTAAAAGTATTTTATATTTGTATTTTAATATTTTTTAAACAAATATATGGCATTATGTTCAAATGACTAAGTCCAACAATAATATATTTCACCTTTGTTCAATATAAATTAGCAACCGCATTTTTAACTGATTGCGCCATCTTTTTTTAAAAAAATTCAATCGGTAATGCTACGTTATAAACTTAAGGAAGAGGGGAAGTCTTGAAATGCGTAGCCTTTCCTGTGGAAAACTTTTTTAAATCGTCGTGTTTTATGGCTAATTTTTTATCTTCTGTTAGCAGGCTTGGCAGGCGTCATAGATTAATTTGAAAAGATTGTTAACTTCAAAATTAAGCACCTGAATAGAATTTCAACAATAAGTCAAGTATACTCTAGGTATAGCTAGTAGATACTTTTTTGGTGAAATCAAGTCAGCTAACCAGCTTTTTAAAATTATATATAACTATATATCTCTGGGTGTTCAGGTCATTTGTCTGTTAAGTTAGTACAAATAGAGTATCTTGTTTTCCAGTTATGGAAGTTTCGTTAGATTTAGTTTCAAGACAAGTACGTTTGTGTCATTTGAAAACTTAAGTTTTATCCGAGTGTCTTGCCTTTTTCACATACTGTGGCATCACGATGAAGTTGGATCGCGGGCCATTTGTGGAAATAGCGGCTATAAATTATACCAACGTTGAGCTCTGCCCAATTCGTAGTATACTGATAAGACGGCCGTGAGAAGACAAAAATAGTTTGTCCTTTTTTTCGATGGTTATTGCTTTCTTTAGAATCAGTCTTTTGTTTTGGGCTGGAATATACTAAGAAACTAACTGCAATTTGTATCACGTGAAATATTACCATTTAAAATTTCTGATCGAACAAATACAAATAAAATTCCTTAGTTCGTGGAATAGATTGGACTAGAATTAGCGCCTGTTGCCTCAACTTGGCTACCGTAAATATCATGGAAGTAAAAAAAACATCACGACAGGCATTTTTAGGCTAACGCGCACGCGTTCGCATCGTCGCTTAACATCAGGTGAGATTGTGGCCAAGCGTGAGTCTATTATATATAAAAAAAAGAAACCATTTTCACGTCATGATTTCACATCATGATATTCAATAAACTAAAATATTGCAATTTTATTTATGTCTACAAGTTGCCTATACAATTAAATAAACTTTATACTCATTGAATATATAAATAATTCGATATATTCCATTCAAAACTTTTAAGCATGTAAACATTTGAACATATAATATTTCACATGCATTACCGATGATAAGACGAAATTCTATAGGAATTATAATCTGAGATTAATTAATATTGAACGCCTCATTCGCTAATTTACCGACGAGTCCGATAATAAATCTCAAAGGAGCCATCTGTAACATGATTTACAAAACGCTAAGGATTTTACAAATAACTGAAGTGTTAACACCTGATTTGAGTAATGAATTTGGATAAATGTTCGGTGTGCCTAAGACATGTTTAAATTTATGTCACACTAATATATTGTGTAAAATGATAGACTGTGTTGACCAGTTCAAAGTTATTTTCCACGCAATGTGACATCTGAAGATTTATATTCCATTGACACTTCAAGTGAGAATGAAGGGAAAGATAAAAGGGAAATGAAAAAGAGGAAGATCAAGAATTCTGTATAGTGAAAAAATAAAGAAGAAGATCAAAGCGAGCAGCTATAAGGTCAAGGAAGTGGTTATGAATAGTGAGGATTGAAGGAGGACTGTCTCTTAAATAGAATCTTCAAGTAACTGAATAGATAATTCCTTAGCATTATCTTTCCATGTGTACAGGCACCTTTTGGATGACATCAGAAGTTATTTTAGCTGCTAAATATGTACGTGTACCTACCGGGTCTATCGCATTTTTTTTGTAAAAATACCAACCACCATGTATTTTACTTCACCATCAGATCGATTCCGCCATGCCTGCGAATGAATACCGTTACACCTTAATAGGTGTAACGGTATTCATTCGCAATAATTAATAATAAATAACAAAAGTTATTTAAAGTTTTATTATCGTTGTATTCATTTCATGAAATTTGGGGTACACGAAAGGAGCCCTCTCACAATGGCTCCTAATCAAGTCTTCTGTAAGTCTGGCGCACCCAGGAAAACAATCGCCAAGTACGTTGCGCCGATTGGCAAATTCTTTCATGACGATGGCAAGCATGTTATGGCGGCATCGAGTTTATGCTTAGTAATTTGGTGTAACGGGCTGGTGTCTGTAACTCGACGTCAAGGCGCCTATTTTGCGTGTGGTATATAACCAGAAATAGAGACGAAATGTTATTTAATTTGTTTGGAAACTGTTCTGCCATATCATTACTGTGACAACTGCGCTCCGACTGGCCAGCCCAAATTCAAAACAATTGACAGGTGTCTTCAATGGGTGTTGTCAATTGTTTCACTTCACATCTACCAGTTAACTTGAGCTTTGTTATAATGGACGAAAATTGCAAAATTACATATTTAATATTTAATTTCCGATGAAATTCGACTCAGTTTGTATTGTAATCAGTTGTTTTGCTGTTTTCCCCACACCACCGAATGGAACAGCACGCCTTTGTTAGGGATATTATCTTTATTACAATAAATATATAATATTGTTGGAATAGACGGAGTCGTGAGCTGTGTGTGTCAGTTGTTGGCGCTGTCTATATTTCAGTGCAAACTAGAGTTGATATTTATAAGTGATGTATCATTGATCAGTAAACAGGAACGTATGGCCCTTATTTCGTCTCTATTTCTGGTTATATACTGGATGTATGGCGGGTACTACTAGTGACGGGGATAGAAGCAATAATTTATGGGCCACGCCAGGGCTACAGTAATACATCGATAGAATAAGAAACAAACTCATCTCAATTCTTCAAGTTCTTTAGTTTTTTGCTAATAATCGAGTCTGGTGTTGATATAAAATTTCAGTCATTGCTTATTACATATCAAATTCGGCATGCATATTAAACAAAATCCGGAAATGGAAATATAAAACCAGTAATGGAACATAATGACAATGTCAACGAATGACAATTACTAACTAGCTTATTACTATGACACTAGAAATGTCATCGAGTATATAACCCGAAATAAGGGTCATCTAAACCTGGTAACTCTTCAGGCAAACGGGCCATCACTTTTAAATATCAACTCTCGTTTGCGCTGAAACCACAAGTTAGAAAGCTGATATAGTATAGCGCCAACAACTGACCTGTGTGTATGTCTCCATATATTCCAAAAGTATTCGGTATTTATTGTAATAAAGATAATATTTCTAACAATGGGAGGTTGTTCCATTCGGTAGTGTAGGAAAACTGAAACAATTGATGACACCCGTCAATTGTTTTGAATTCGGACTGGCCAATCGGAGCGCAGTTGTCACAGTAATGATTTGGCAGAATAGTTTTCAAACAAATTAAATGACATTTTGTCTCAATTTCTGGTTATATAGTCAATGACAAATTTGTAATATGAACTTGAGTTTCCAATAAATTATGTAACTTTTTGTTTACCAGGCATTACCTGGTAAACAAAACAATGCGAGAGAAACATAGGACGATATGTTTAAAATAAATATAGACTTAATGGCAGAGCATATTCATTCATCATTCGAGGGTACAGTCGAAGTTTAACTAATGCTACTTTTTGGCTAACGTCTGGGCAAGGGCCCGGGTTATCAGTTTAAACACGATTTACTCGGAAACTTTTCGGTTTGGGACTGACCATTTGTGGCTTTGGGAAATATACCTTCGTACATGAGTACATTGGTCAACCATGGCCGATTGTGGGGGAAACGGTGACGTTACGATCTTGACGCCTTATTAATCGACTTCGCCGTAATGGATTTCACAGGCATCAGTTGCTGTCTAATGCTTAACATCACTAGAGTGGATCAGAATGAGTTCACAAAGTATATCGCGAAATGAAAGTCTATAGTGATGGTGGTAGGGCTCAAATTGCGTTGTGGTTGTTTGTATTGGCAAAAGTATTGATTAGGACGTTTTGGAGTTGAGTTGTGGATGGATCGATTAAGTTTAGCGGTTCTACGTATCCCCGCTCCTGCGTTTTGATTCGGGCTGGTATTTACGCTAGCGGTTTCTTTTATTACCGCACAGAGTTACTACGGTTTAGAGCGATCTATTTAAATATTTTTAAAATCTGATGACCGCCATGAAGCAAAAGAAGTTATTTATGATGTTAGTAATTATAATCCTGCGAATTACAAATAACCCTGTATATCCAAATATTGACACGGTAATACTCAGAGTCACTTACTCACTCCCAGACTTAAGAAAGAAAAAAATGACAAAACATTCAAAACCAAATTAAAATCTCTCTTGATTAATGGTGCTACGTGGGTGCTACTATAGTGTCTCCTATAAGATGATGTGAAAGGTTTTGGTGACCTCTTGAACTCTTCTTTAATGGAACAATACACTTTCCATCTTTCAAAATTTCTGTAAATTTTATGACTACGTTAAGTACTCTTGTTGTTAACCGACTTCATAAAAAGGAGGAGGTTCTCAATTCGAGAAGGTTCACGACCCTCGGAAAACGTGTGAAGTCCCCAACCCGCATTGGGCCAGACTCGCGCGGTACGCGCGGTATGGCTTAAGCCCTCGCCTGAGAGGAGACTCGTGCAGTGGGACGTAAAAATGGGTTGATGATGATGATTT